AGTACTCATCGCACTCATATCAGAGGACTTTACACAACCGTTGAATTCGCCAACACAATAGTTTGAAATGCAACGATAATTAAAAACACATAGAGACATTGGTCCATAAGGGGCAGATGACCGATGTCCATAAATGTAGATACAGTAAATGTCCATTGATAACAGTATGATACAGTAATTGTGCAGTAGGGGTTGGGCTTAAGAATCCCCTTGTTTTATTAATACTAAAATTTGAATATTTATTTTGATCAAAAAATGCTTGCAATAACCCTGAGAGAAAAAAACAAAAAACTTTTGTGCAGCAACCAATCAGAGAGCCGCAAAGCGGTCACGGGGTCATATGCCGGTCAGAATGCTCATTCTCTCGTTAGTGTAAACAAGTGCTGCTAACGTAAGTACAGGTTAATAATAAAATAAACCCATGGCACCCAGTGGGCGCAGCTTCGTGAACAAATACTGCTGTTATATGAAGTCTCTGGAAGGGCTTGGGACACAGAGACGCTGCCAAGCTGCATTTGTGGAAAAGAACTTTACACAAAAAGCTGAGGGGGTGAGGGTAGAAAAGCAACAAAGGGACTCAGTCGGCCAATCAGCTCTCAGCCCAAAGAAGCAAATAGGCAAGTTTATTTGTATAGAACAGTTTGTACACAAGGTAAAGTGCCTCTATGCCTCTGGATGTGTTCTGGTGACTGCAGTATTATAAATGTGAATCTTTGTGTTGAAGGTAAAACATGTGAGGTCCATAACCAGCACAGACACTGGTTGGAATTAAATATGCATGTTTCTCAAACAATCACATTAGTTTGGTCCAACAACAACAGCATGAGTGTGCAAGGAGCCAGCAGGGGGCGATGGCAACAAACACATTACTCTCCATTAGGCGCCGCGTGTTGGGAATTAGCAGGTTTCAGTTTGAAAATAGTGTAACCTGAGCACTGGCTGTAGAGGGCTGTGCGTGTGGGCCTCAAAGACCTCAGAGACAAACAGACCTGCCGCTGTGTTTACCTTATCCACGCTGATATCACTTACTTCTGTATGAATGCTTTGACCTCAAACTTAGTGCAGCTGTTCGCAGCTTATGTGGAGGGGGAGGGGGTCAAAGAGGACACAGGCACAGAATGGGGAAAATTACTTCTTCTTGTTTTGGGTGGTGGAAGAAACCGGAACACCTGGAAGAAACCCACACACACAGGGAGAGCATGGAAAAGCCACACAGAGTCTTGCCCCCTGCAGATGGTCCATGGTGCACCAGTGTTTTGAACTGTTCCAATAGAAATATGAAAGCTTTAACCAATGCAGAAGGGTCTGTTAGAGTCTTGTGAGGCCTAACTGAAAGGGCCGTGGTGATGATGACAAGATGGAGTTTACAGGTTCTCCCTGTGTCCAGTTTCCTCCAGGTGATCCGGTTACCCCTAACACTAAAAACTTTCAAAATAGGTCTGAATGTAGTGAGTCAATGGATCGTGTTTGATCAGAGGCTTTGATACCATTGCGTTTCTCTTCCATTTTCACTGTGTGTGGAGTGAATTAAACAATATCTGAACTCTGTACAGGTGCACTTCATTGATCCCCATAGGGCAATTCAATCCTCTGCATTTGACCCATCCTGTCAGGAGCACTGGCCGCCGTAGTACAGCGCCCGGGAACCCATCTCCAGATATTGAGGCGAGAGTGCTGTCCACTCAGCCACCATGCCGCCCATGAAACACTTTGTGTGACCTTAGTCTGTAAAAAATGGGCTATATGAATAAAGATCACTTACGTACTTACTCAACATTCAACAAGACTTATGGACATTGGTCATTTGCCAATAGCAATGTGATTTCTGTTTTATTTCTTTTGTTTGAACTGTTTGATTCTCTGATCTGTGTTGACGAATTCAACGGTTGTGTGAAGTCCTCAGAGAAACTACTGTAATTTAGGGCGATACAAGAATAAATTGAATTGAATTTCATTTCATTTAATAGTCAGAACTTGAGGTTTTAGTGGCAGGTTATTGGACTGACCCAGACCAGAGCTTGACCTGTCCTGGAGGGGTCTAGTCCATGTCCCTGTGTTTGGACAGTCACAGAGGACACACAGAAGGACAAACCCAGTCGTTTAGAGCCAGATTCCTTCACAGTTAGTGTCAAAAGTGTGTTTTACAGCGGCTGACATCTGCCACAGTGCCCCCCGGGGGTCTGTGGTGTCTCTGCGCTGTCTCTGCGGAGCGTGCAGCCCACAGACACAGCTCTGAAGCGAGAACAACCTCCAGCGCGGCCCATAAACACACCACTCATCTGGAGACGCTTTATTGCCTCGTTAGCCTGGTGTCGACCAATGAGAGTGCAGGGCAGCAAGCAGGGCGGACCAATCACAGAACAGAGACGTGACAGCAGATGGAGCCATAACACCTGCACAGGTGTGACGAGCCGTTCATTACAAGTGACAGAACCACACTTTATTTAAGGCTAGGATTAAAGCAGGACTAAAGCAGGACTAAAGCAGGTCTAAAGCAGGTCTAAAGCAGGTCTAAAGCAGGACTAAAGCAGGACTAAAGCAGGTCTAAATTACGACTAAAGCAGGACTAAAGCAGGTCTGAACCAGGTATGTAGCAGGTCTAAAGCAGGATTAAACCAGGTTTAAACCATGACTAAACCAGGACTAAAGCAGGTCTAAAGCAAGTCTAAACCAGGACTAAAGCAGAACTAAAGCAGGACTAAAGCCCCCCCTCCTGTCTCCTCTTCTCTCCCTCTCTGTCCTCTCTCTCCACTTTCCCCTCTTTCCTCTCTCTTCTCTCTCCTCTTCATCCCTCCTCTCCTCTCTCTCCTTTCCCTCGTCTCCTCTTTCTCCTCTCTCCTCTCCTCCCCCTCCCCCTCCTCCCCTCCTCCTCTTCTCTCCATCCCCCCCTCCTCCCTTCTCCTCTGATGCCAAGTGTCCGGTCTCCTCCTGATTGCTCCCTCCAGCGCTTCGCCTTCTCTCTACATCTCTGTTTTTTATCACTGCGAACAGGCCTTTCCCACAATGCACCTGTGCTGGCTGCGCTAATGTTAGCCCCGCAGCTAATACACTCTGGGTCACTCTCCAAATTAAATTATATGACTGAGAATATGGAGAGGAATGATGTAGTTTAGAGCAGGGAGGATTTTACATTCAGGCCCAGGTGGGACTCAAACATACAAAGTGGTTCAGCTTTTTAAGAAATATTCAATCAGGAGTGTGGGACAAAAGAGACTTTTACTATGTGGAACCATCAGAGAGCCGGACGGTTAGCGAGCCGGACCATGAAGGAGATGGCTCTGCACAGGGTCAACTAGAACTAACAGGACTCAATGAAGTCAGTGAATCAGGGCTATTCATCTGTGAAACAGGAGTAGGTTTGTGAGTGAGTTGACTTTATGTAGTCAATTTAACCTAGGACCAGTGTTGGATGTAATGCTAACGAAACTACTTTTTCTGGGGAAAAGTAAAGTAACTTGTTAGATTCTGACGATTTTGTAACGTAACGCTGTTTCTTTTTTCAATCTGCTGCAACGTTATTTTTTATTTACCATGGGCAGCTGTGACCACTCATCTGTAGGTGCCTGCATCAGTCACAACTCGCACTTAAGATCTCATTCCACAGTATGTGAAGCAAGAGTTTGATCTCATATTCTCAGCGTCGGACGTTGTGTCTTCCTCTTCATCAAAAAAAGTAATCCTCGCTGGCGCTGCTGTGAGCGGCAACTTGTCTTTGTTTATTCTCAGCTTGCTCTTTATCATGGAGTTAGAGGTCCAAAACCGATTCCCCCCGAGTGAGAGCTGTGTTCATGAAATACATGAACAACGCCATGTTACATGCTCTGTGGCATTTTTTATATTAAAGAAATGAAAGAAATATATGTTGATCTTCATAGTAGAACTTCCACAACAAATTTAAGAACAGTTTTGCTCAAAGTTGAGCATAATAACAGTAACGTAAAAGTAAAGAGTAAAGTAACTCTCTAAAGAGAGGAACTAAGTAAAGTAACTGGTTACTTTTTAAAAGAAATAATGAGTCACGAGAAAAGTTACTTTTTAAAAGTAACCTCCCCAACACTATCCAGGACTAAACCGAGTCTGAACCAGAACTAAACCAGGAGTAAACCAGGACTAAACCGACTAAACTAGATCTCAATTAATGAGTAAGTAATCTGTATTTAGTAGACCAGCCCTCACCCTCTCTGCCTCCCCTTCAGCCTCACGCCCTTTGCCTCCCCTTCTCTCCTCCTCTCCTTTCCTCCTCTACTCTCCTCCCCCTCCTCTCCTCTCCTCCCCCCTCTCCTCCCCTGTGTCCTTCTCTTTCCTCCTCTTCTCCCCGCCCCCTCTCCTCCTCTCCTCTTCTCACCCCTTTCCCTCTCTCCTCATCTCCTCTCCCCCATGTCAGATCTGATGGCAGCAGAGGGTAAGTGCCTCAGTGTGAGAGTATCTGACGTCTCTTTCTCCTCAGTCTGTGTTTGTTATGATGCAGCAGCTGTAATAATCCACGATCGATAAATGGAGATGAGAGCAGAGAAGTCTGAGATCTATATTCTCAGGAAATAAAGCTGGAATATAGCTGGGTCCAAACACAGCGAGAGGAGGCTCTGGATCAGGACAGATACACACTAATTTAGATCTCACAGATTATGGATTAAGACGTTTACCTCCACATTCTTGTCTCAGTCTGCTGTGATAAAGCTGGACCTGGACTTTCTCTATGATAATGCATTAGTTTTCCCGACAGAAGAGAGTAAAAGTTAAATGTTGTGAACAAATTAGATAAATATTGTGTTTAAGTAAGAGCCCTGTGAGTTACTATTTGACTCTCTGGTCTCTCAGCAGCAGGAGCAGCAGCAGCAGCAGCAGCAGCAGCAGCAGTAGCAGCAGCAGTAGCAGCAGTAGCAGTAGCAGCAGTAGTATCAAAGTCCTGTTTCTCTCTCCGATGAAGCCGTCATCGTCTTTGTTAATAAATGACCTGATTACAGCAGCCACGTTCTAATTACCACACACCCACAAGGCACATGTTAACGACCAGAGGACCAGAGGGACCGAGGAAGGAGGAACAGGAGAGATCAGTGGGGACCAGGAGAGACCAAGGGGGGACTAGGGGGGGGGGACAAGGAGACACGAGGGGGGACCAGGTGGGACGAGGAGAGATCAGGGGGGAACAGGGACGGAAGAGCAGAGCTGGAGGTCAGACAAACACAATAGCTAATTGATTCGGATACAGCTCACAGTCAGAATGAACAAAGACAATCGGATCATGAGACTTTAATTGAAGAGGATTCTTAATGAACTCATGGTGCAGATTATTTTTCTCCTTTTGGGCTAAAACTAGTGTTTCAGCCCAAAAGTCGCATGTTCTCCTTGTGTCTCCTAGATGAAATCGTCTTGTTTCTGAAGAAGAGAGAGAGAGACAAGAGAGAGAAACCAGAGAGAGACCAGAGAGAGATACCGGAGAGAGAGACCAGAGAGAAGCAGAGTGGAGCATTCAGCATCTGTCAGACGGAGACGAGTCCAAATGAGACACTACCCACTGAAGCACAACAGCTCACAACCAGGAGACAGTCATCAGGGAGATCGATAACACATCTGCATTCACACAGAGAGGGGAGGGGAGAGAGGGGAGAAGAGAGAGAGGGGACAGAGGGGGGAGAGGGGACAGAGGAATGTAGAGAGAGGGGAGAGAGGGGAAAGGAGAGAGAAGAGACATGTGAGAGGCACAGTGAGAAACGTGTCCCTCACAGACATCACCAACATGTTACTTCAAACAACTTCCTTTTGTCCCTAAAGCTATTATAAGTTTGTTCCAGCAGAAACATTGATGCATCCATCCTTTGCTTTTATGGAACCTGTTTGGACCTTGTTTAGACGTTGTCTAATCCTCTTCTGGTTTCTTGTTTGGGCCTTGTTCAGCCCTGATTCTGGTCCTGGTTTGGATCTGGTTTATCCATGGTTCTGGCTCCTGTTTGCTACTGGTTCATTCCTGGTTTTGGTCCCTGTTTGGACCTGGTTTAGACCTGGTTCTGGTCCCTGTTTGCTCCCGGTTCATTCCTGGTTCTGGTCCCTCTGTGATAGTGAGCGCTCAGCAGAAGTCCACCTGACCTTGTGCTCATTCAAACATAATGACATGGATTTATTCCTCTGACGCCTTTAATTAGAACGCTCCAAATATCGATCTCTCCATCATCTCAGATCACACAGACGAGAGAAAGGGGAGAGGGGGAGAGGAGGGAGGGGGAGAGAGGGCCAGAGAGAGAGAGAAGCGAGGGCCGAGAAGGGGAGAGAGGAGGGAGGGGGAGGGAGGGGGAGAGGGTCGGAGAAAGAGAGAGATACAGGTGTGAGGGGTGAGAGAAGGTGTGAGAAAGAAAGAGAGAGAGGTGTGAGGGGGAGAGAGGAGGCAGGGGGGAGAGATGGCCATAGAGAGAGAGTGAGGAGTGAGGAGGGGGGAGGTTCAGAGAGAAAAAGAGAGAGTTTTACCAATGATGCTTTTACCACAAATTAAACTACAAAAAACAAACAAACTACTACAAAAATCTAAACAGATTCCACCCTTCCCCCTGGTGGCAGCACTGGGAGTTACAGGCAGAAGGCACTTTTTACCCTTCACACTAATCTCAGCTTATGTTTACTACAGAAGATATTGTTTCACTTTCTAGAACATGACATGACAAAGTAAACAGTCTCATTCTAATCTTTAAAATAAGTAAATAATGCACAATAGGTGATCTTTAAGTTGTTTTGTGTGAATCCCTGTAGAGTGTAGCTGGCTTGGTCTTGTGTGAGCTGCTGTGGTTGGCGTGTGATTCATTATTTTGTGTCAGTCCGTTTCTGCTTCCTCCATATTTAATTAAAATATCATTTTAAAACATAATTAAGTTTTTAATCCGTCCGCGCGCGTCCTGCAGTCCTGTCTCGCGTCTCAGAGCTCTATCGCTAAATTGGAAGCAGCCCGCGGCTTTTGCTTTGGCTGGTTTTGCATACGGCACACACTTGCACACACACACACACACACACACACACACACACACACACACATACACCACACACAATCCGGAACGGTGAGGGACAAAACCACAAAACCCAGGAAATAAGTTCCTTTTACAACAGTTCTACTTGCTTTTACACACTGCACTGGAAACTGTTCCATTTCAGCTGCAAAGACTTCCATTATGATTTGTCCGGGTTGAGTCTCTGGTCTCACTTTCTGGTTTCTTGCTGGTCCTTTCTCTGGTTTCTCTCTCTGTTCTCTCTCTCTGGTGTCTCTTTGGTCTCTCCCTCTGGTCTCTCTCCCTGGTCTTTATAGTCTCTCTCCCTGGTTTCTCCCTGGTCTCTTTCTACTCTCTCTCTGATCCTCTCCCTGTTCTCTCTCTGGTCTCTCTCCGGTCTCTCCCTGGTCTCTTGCTGGTCTCTCTGGTTTCTCTTTCTGATCACGCTCTCTACTCGCTTTCTCAAGTCAATCTCGCTCTCTGTGTTCTCACTCTGATGTCTCGTTTGTCTCTCTGTCTCTCTCTCTGGTCTTTCTCTCTCTTGTCTCTCTCTGGTGTCTCTCTGTTGTCTCTCACTGGTCTCTCTCTGGTCCCTTTGGTCTCTCTCTCTTGTCTCTCTCTAGTCTCTCTCTGGTCTCTGCTCCAGACGGTCCTCGTCCTCCTGTTTTGTCTCATAAACATGTCATAAACGCTACATCTATTGTTACTCTCTCTCTCTGGTTTTGGTGATTGACACTTGTTGCCGCGGGAAAAGCCCAGGACGCCTCACTCATTCACAGAGACAGGGGCGGACTGAGCGCGTGCGGACCCTCCAGGGGGATTGTGGGTAAACGGACTGTGGCCAAGATGGCGTCCACGCGTGGGGTTCACAGAGCAGTTACATATTCATCGAACATCACAGTCCTATCGACCGAGCTCACACAGAGAGGCAACAAGAGTCTGGGCCAGGTCTGAACCAGGTCTAAACCAGGTCTTAACCAAGTCTGAACCAGGTCTGAACCAGGTCCGAACCAGGTCTGAACCAGGCCTAAACCAGCTGTATGGAATCTAATAGACACATAGTTAAGTTGAGTGGTCCGCTCTGTTTCACTTTTCTGTTTGAAAAAGCTGATCTAAAGATGTGACAAAGGCCAAACATACACAATGTGATAACTAGAGATAGAAACTCTGGTCTTTCTGGTCCCTATCTGGTCTTTCTCTCTGGTCTAGCTCTGGTTTCTCTTTGGTTTCTCTCTCTAGTCTCTCGCTCTGGTCTCTCTTTCTAATCTCTCTCTCTGGTCTCTCTCTCCGGGCTTTCTCTTTGGTCTGTCTCAGGTCTCTCTCTCTGGTCTCTTCACTGGTCTCTCTTTCTGGTATCTCTGGTCCCAGCACTTTTTATACTGGTCATATATATTTCTGTCACATTCTTTAGATCAACAAAAATTCACTTATGGTAATTTCCTGTTGTGTCCACCTCATCGGCTCTGATGCTGGTTCAGACCCAAACAGAGAGAATGAAACGATCTGCATTCCGAGGACCATGAAGACCAGAGCACCTGCTTCTGAATTCACGGTCCCCCCTCACATTAGTGGCTGGTGTCTCACACAGATGCCCCGCCCTCTCTTCCCCCTCTCCTCCTCGTCCACACATTTCCATCTGATTTGTGCGACTTTGTCAGAGTCGCACAAAGAGGCGTCCAAGTGGCGCTTTCGTCTCCAATAAATGATTTAAATAAACATCTCGGAGGTCGGCGATGGGCCTAACGCACTCGTATACAGCTCGCGTCTCTGCGTAATGCCTCCACAATTGAACGATATGAGAAAATCAAGGCACGCCACTCGCAAATGATCCTGGAGTGGCCGCTGCGGCTGCAACGGCGGCATTTGCTCTCAGAGGTAATTGCACACAGAGCATATGGAGATGAGGCTTGTGTACAAACAGCTCTGGCTAATGCTGTAGCGAGAGGCCCACACGCTAAGGTCAAACAATCAGAGAGGAGGCGATCAGGAGGTAACAAGCAGGAGACGCCAAAGCAAGAAGTAATCAGAGGAAGGAACCAGAGAGGGAGAAGTGGAGACAGAGGAGAGAAGGAGAAAGATGAGGAAGAGAGGAGGAGACACAGCAGATGGGATGAAGCAGGACTCAGCGATGCAAAGTCCTCAGAGACCTGCTCCCTACTGCCAATGGTCAGTAGGGAGCAGGACGACCACTGTCCAGAAACAGTCATAAATGTCCCGGATCCTCAGGGTCATGGATCCTCAGGGTCAAGCATCCTCAGGGTCATGGATCCTCAGGGTCAAGCATCCTCAGGGTCATGGATCCTCAGGGTCAAGCATCCTCAGCGTCAAGCATCCTCAGGGTCAAGCATCCTCAGCGTCAAGCATCTTCAGGGTTATGGATCCTCAGGGTCATGAATCCTCAGTGTCATGATCCTCAGTGTCATGGATCCTCAGGGCCAAGGATCCTCAAGGTCAAGGATCCTCAGTGTCATGGATCCTCAGTGTCATGGATCCTCAGGGTCAAGGATCATCAGTGTCATGGATCCTCAGGGTCATGAATCCTCAGTGTCATGAATCCTCAGTGTCATGGATCCTCAGGGTCAAGGATCATCAGTGTCATGGATCCTCAGGGTCAAGGATCATCAGTGTCATGGATCCTCAGGGTCAAGGATCCTCAGTGTCATGAATCCTCAGTGTCATGGATCCTCAGGGCCAAGGATCCTCAAGGTCAAGGATCCTCAGTTTCATGGATCCTCAGGGTCAAGGATCCTCAGGGTCATGGATCCTCAGGATCAAGGATCCTCAGTGTCATGGATCCTCAGGGTCAAGGATCCTCAAGGTCAAGGATCCTCAGTGTCATGGATCCTCAGGGTCAAGGATCTACAGTGTCACGAATCCAGTCAGAAAGAAAAGCCTAATTAATTCCCGCTGTGCATAAACTTAAGTCCCCTCTCAAGTTTATGTGTGCTTAAGCACTTCTGAAATTATAGACGAAACATTTAGAAGGATAAATGTGTCTTATGATCACCTCCTCACACCCATCAAGCTCAAAGTCTAAATTCGTCCCTGGCCTTGGGTTTGGTTTGACCCTTTTTCTCTGACAAGTTTCCGTCTCCCCCGCGGTAAATAGTTAACACAGGTCTAAACAACACACCGACCTTTCCCAATGTTGTCTCGAGACGTCATTCCTACACAGATTGAACCATGAAAGTGTATATAAACTAACTATGATAGTATATGTACTGTAGTATATATTTTATAATCAGTGTTGTCCTGAACTCAGAGGCTTCCCTTTCTTCTTTTATATCCTTTTTCCATTAGTCTGTGTCAGGTGTAAAAAATCCTATAGATGCCCACTGCACACATGAGGAACTGTAAAGGCTGCCTCTCGAGCTAAAGCTGTCACCTCCTCCTCCTCCTCTTCTCTCTGGAGTGCGGATCTGTCTAATTCCTGCTACTGGAGCCGTATGCGTGTCCATGTCGGATCACACTCAGAGCCTCTCTCCACACACACACACACACACACACACACACACACACACACACACACACACACACACACACACACACACACACACACACACACACACACACACACACACACACACGCCACGAAACTAAAGCAAGGACTGAAGCAGAGACTGAAGCAGAGACTGGGGCAGGTCAATGCAACCCAAACATCTGGTAATTCAACTTTTTAAAACTCTTGGTCGAGTCAAAAGAACCAAAAAAATAAAGAAGAAATGATGGACATTGACATTTGATGTTGTCCATAAGTTACTCTTGAGTTGCAGTTGGAGGGCCCTGAAGGTTTCTGCAGATACTTGTTATATCTATAGGAATATTCACACAATTACAAACAATACACAACATAAAGACACACAAAATAGCAAAATGGTCCCAAACTTTGGGGACATGTACCTTCATGGTTCTCCACAGATCCAGATCATGTCCTCAGACCATGTCCTTTTAGACCATGTCCTCAGACCATGTCCTCAGACCATGTGTGTCTCTGTTGCAGGATCTTCTCTATGGTCAGTTTGAGACGCAGAGAGCGGCGCTGGAGCAGATGGCAGTGAGACTGAGCAGCCTGCAGTACCCCAGCCCCACCAGCAGGAGGAGCTCAGCCCAGACTAAAGCCAACAGGTAAAAACCTCACATTGCTAACACGCTAGCTCAATACTAACCAGCTAGCTCAATTCTAACCCGCTAGCTCAAGTAAACTCCTCTAGCTCAGTAACCGTTTGTGTCACACTCACCATTTTGGGCTTAAATCTGTGGTTTCTCAGGGATCCTGCTGTTTATACTGTTATGTTGTCTTTGTTAATCAACCAATCAGAGGTCTTCATTCAGGGGGAACCTCCAGTATGCCTTAGTAACAACCATCTTTCCAACTTGTCTGCCTCTGTTAGGGCACAAAGGAACTAGCTTCAGCTTATATGTTTAAATCTGCTTCTTCTGCAATAAAGCTAACACTGTGTTGATGTCACACTTGGTAAGTTCACTCCTCATATACCCAATGGTTCTATGGTATAAACCGGTTTCCAAGACGACCATATGGACTCGGCTTGAATGACCTTCAAGAAAAGGGGCAGGAATTAAAGCTTCTCAGACTCAGATCCAAGATGGGGACTACATTTTAAATTCCAGAATCACTGCTGACCCCTTTGTAACATTTGAAACATACAATATCCGTGAAATATACAATATCTGACTTTAATTAATTCTGTTTTTTCAGCTCAAACATAGATTCTGAAAATGTTAGAACTGCCACATGGTACTGTGACCAGCATTTTTCAAATCTGTGCTTTAACTAATATTATTACTATTATTATGAGCCATAAGTGCCATTTGTCGACATGCACCAAACAGACCAGAGAGAGAGAGACTAGAGATAGACCAGAAAGGGAGACTTTAGAGAGAGAGAGAGACCAAAAAGAAGACCAGAAAGAGAGAGTCAAGAGCAAGAGAAAGGAGAGAGACCAGTGAGAGAACCTTCCCATTGAGTGTTGTAGGTACTTTTGAATCTCCTTCTTGTACAGTATAACAGTATTTCCCGTGACAGACTCTGAACATGTGATACAGTGGAAATTTGTGACCGTGGAGGCTCTTTGTCCGACGCTCTCTTCACCTGCTGTACTTTTTCACTCCAGCCTCAGAACATCTCAAATCCACTCTTCACCAAAACCAGAGAGAGCGGGAAGAGCCAGAGAGAGTGTGTGTGTGATGGGGCGAGGAGGGGGAGGAGGGGGTGTAATCGCGGAGGTCCAGGCTTCTCCCTGGGAGCACGGCAAATTTGAGCTTCGGTTCCACTGCGTGTGTCCGATTCTCAGCTCGACCACCAGCTGCTATCACACAGACACATGTGAGGGACCAGGACCAAACCAGGACCAGGATCAGTACCAGGACCAAGGATCAGGACCAGGACCAGGAGCAGAACCAGGACCAGAACCAAGGATCTGAATCAGGACCAGGACCAATGATCAGGAAACGACCACGACCAAGGACTAGGACCAGGGCCACGACCACGTCTAAGGACCAGGACCAGGGCTCAGCTCTCAGCCTAAAGAGTCCAATGGTGACTCTCAGGGCTCTTTCTTACACAAGATGTTTTCCAATGAGATGAAGACGGTATGTTGCTGTCTGATTCTTTCTGTTGGACAAACCTTATTTATGGGGAAAACCTGGTGTCACAGGACCATAGCTGCTCCTGGAGTCTCTTGGAGCGGAGCAGAACAGTGTAATGGAGGAGAAGGAGGAGGAAGAGCAGGAGGAGGAGGAGGAGGTTGTTGCTTCTTGAGAGAAGAGAGTGTGTCTGTCAGACTGACGGTTGCAGAGAATGAGCCATAAATCCTCTGCACAAAAGTGAAGGCGCTAATATGAAGCTAGCAACGTTTCACAGCGAGATCTGCTCCTCTCTTTCTCCTCTCTGCCTGATCTCTCCTCTTCTCTGTATCCTCTGTCTCCTCTTTCTCTCCTACGTCTCTCCTCTGTCTCCTCTTTCTCTCCTTTGTCTCTCCTCTGTCTCTACTCTGTCTCTCCTCTGTCTCCTCCTTCTTTCCTCTGTCTTTCCTTTGTCTCTCCTCCGTCTCTACTCTGTCTCTCCTCCGTCTCTCCTCCGTCTCTACTCTGTCTCTCCTCTGTCTCTCCTCCGTCTCTACTCTGTCTCTCCTCTGTCTCCTCCTTCTTTCCTCTGTCTTTCCTTTGTCTCTCCTCCGTCTCTACTCTGTCTCTCCTCTGTCTCTCCTCTGTCTCTCCTCTGTCTCCTCCTTCTGTCCTATGTCCCTCCTCTGTCTCTCCTGTATCGCTTCTCTGTCTCTCCTCTGTCTCTCCTCTGTTGCTTCTCTGTCTCTCCTGTATCTCCTCTGTCGCTTTCTGTCGCTCCTCTGTCTCTCCTCCGTCTCTACTCCGTCTCTACTCTGTCTCTCCTCTATCTCCTCCTTCTCTCCCGTCTCTCTCCTCTGTCTCCTCCTTCTCTCCTCTGTCTCTGCTTTGTCTCTCCTGTCTCCTCCTTCTCTCTTCTGTCTCTCTTGTCTCTCCTCTGTCTCTCTCCTGTCTTTCTGTCTCTCCTCTGTCTCTCTCTTGTCTCTCCTCTGTTGCTTCTGTCTCTCCTCTGTCTCCTCTCTCTCTCCTGTATCGCGTCTATCGCTCCTCTGTCTCTTCACTCTCTCCTCTGTCGCTCTGCTGTGCGAACAAATAAATAATACATCTATCGTTTAATTTGTGTCACTTCAAACATGTGTCGCGCACTCTCTCCAGGGAGGAGGAGGGAGGGGTCTGACAAAGTGTTAGAGGAGGAGGAGGACGGGAGAGGATGAGGGGGGTGAGACTGAGACAGAGAGGAGAAACAGGTTTGAGGAGGACAGGTAAGAAGGAGTGGAAGAATAACAAGCCACTATGAGTTCACCAGGTCAGCACTAGTTAAAGCTAAACCAAACTTTTTATGCCCTCTACAATCTTCTCACTCTCATTTTGGCCCACTCCTCCTCTTCTGGTCTTTCTCTGGTCTCTCTTTCTGGTCTCTTCTGGTCTCTCTATGGTCTTTCTCTGGTCTCTCTCTAGGGTTTCTCTGGTCACTACCTGGGGTCTCTCTGGTCTCTCTCTAGTCTCTCTCTGGTCTCTTCTGGTCTCTCTATCATCATTCTCTGGTCTCTCTCTAGGGTTTCTCTGGTCACTACCTGGGGTCTCTCTGGTCTCTCTCTAGTCTCTCTCTGGTCTCTTCTGGTCTCTCTATCATCATTCTCTGGTCTCTCTCTAGGGTTTCTCTGGTCACTACCTGGGGTCTCTCTGGTCTCTCTCTAGTCTCTCTTTGGTCTCTTCTGGTCTCTCTATCATCATTCTCTGGTCTCTCTCTAGGGTTTCTCTGGTCACTATCTTGTCTCTCTCTCGTCTCTCTTTGGTCTCTCTCTGGTCTCTCTCTCTGGTCTTTCTGTCATTTTCCTTATATGGAAATATTTGTGTATATTTGTTCCAACGGCATTAGCTTTGCGCTGCAACATGGGCAAACATCTCGCTAAGACGATTGCTAAGGCTGAAGTGTCCCCTGCATGAAGGCCTCTGATTGGTCAATCGTTATGTGGCTCAAATCTGGATTTACTAAGACAGTATCACTATATAAACACCAGAATCACAGAGAGCGATAAACCACTGATTTAAGCCAAAAATAGTGAGTGTGACACAAACGTTCCAGAGCTTGAGGAGTTTGCTTTTACATGGAATTCAATAGGAGCCAGAGAGAGGAGCCAAACTTGAGCCCTTCCCTTTTGAGCTTCATAGAGCTAGCGGGTTAGCATTGTTCCTCTTTAACCTGAGGAGTTTGAAAACAGCGCGTCTAGACACAGGGGGAGGGGGGACATCCTGATATATAGTTACAATGTGATAAAAGTCCATTACAAAAAGTCCTCTCAAACAAATGCATATATTTAGAGTTTGGATCCTCATGCATTTAAAAGAGGAGATTCTGTGTCAGGTCTAATGTCCAAATAATGGAACATTTCCTCTTGTTTGTTGTGTTCTTAGATAAAACCCTTTCCATCTGAATGCCTCCGCGCACACGGCTCCTTAAAGCGCCTCGTCCTGTCTCATCTTAAATGTATTTTATGTATGGGTTTATCTCAGTGCGATCAGCGTGGGTTTAGCTCCTCTGAACCTGTCATTCCATCCACGCCTCAGTCTTGGTCTCGGTCTCGTTCCCGTTCTCGGTCTCAGCCTCCAGTCTCTGCCTTCGTCATAGTCTCTGTCTCTGACTCGGTCTCGGTCTCGGTCTCGGTCTCTGTCTCAGCCTTAGTCTCTTTCAGAAAAGATAACATGATTATTAGAAAACATATCTTTTATTGAAAGAGCTCTGTGAGTCACTATTTCAGTCTTTGGGCAGAGAGTTATGATCTACTGTAGCTCTGGTCTCTCTCGCTGGTCTTTCTCGCTGGTCTCTCTCTCTTTGGTCCCTCTCTCTCTGGCCTCTCTTGTCTCTCTCTCTGTGGTTCCTCTTTTTCTCTAGCCCTCTCTCTGGTCCCTCTGTCTCTGGTCCCCCTCTCTCTGGTCTTTCTCTCTCTTTGTGCTACATATTTGTAGCTCCGCCTTCAATTATGATTAAATTGTTCATGATACTAGCAATAGAACAAAGAACATAAGTTACGTCCCCCGGCTTTAAAGTGTTACATGCTTCTGTGTTTGCTCCACAGTCTGCAGCAGCTGGAGGCAGAGTACCAGGAGCTCTCTGATTGGCTGATGGACATGGACGCCATGGTGACGGACAGTCACCAGCTGATGATGTCAGAGGAGCAGAGGATTCACCTGTTCAAGGTAAACTGATGGTTCTCAATCTGAGGCACATACACCAGGGTTCTCAGACTGTGATGAGCTTTGACGATGCACAATTGATGCACAATGGACCAATGGTTCTATGTGTTTGTTATTACTTCATTTCCTGTGTTTGAACTGGTTGATTCTCTGATCTGTGTTGGAAAATCCACAACTTTGTGAAGTCTTCTGAGATAACTACTGTTGTGATTTCCTGGTTCATACCTGGTTAAGGCCTGGTGCAGACCTGGTTCAGTCCTGGGGCAGACCTGGTCCAGATCTGGTTCAGTCCTGGTCCAGTCATGGTTCAGTCCTGGTCCAGTCCTTGTTCAGACCAGGTTCAGAACTGGTTCAGACCTAATTCCAACCTGGTCTAGACCTGGTTCAGACCTGGTCCAGTCCTGGTCCAGCTCTAGTTTAGTCCTGTTTCAGACCTCGTTCAGACCTGGTTGAGACCTGGGGGATCCCCTCTCTCATTATTGATAGAGTCAAAGAGGAAAAAGAGAAACCTAATTCCTCCATAGGAGCCGTTTAAATATTAACGCAGTGTGAATATTCATGCAGGGATTATGTGTGGAGGAAGTTTAAACGTGGCGCGCACCTCGTTCTGATGTGTCAGAGACTCTGCAATATTCATGTCTGTCTCCAGCAGCAAGGTCAGGAGGGGAGACTGAGACCAGGTCCGGACTGGGTCCAGACCGGGTCCAGACCGGGTCCAGACCGGATCCAGACCGGGTTCAGGCCAGGTCCACATGGTCCACTGTCTCATCTGTCAAAATGTTCTCTGGAGGAACCCTGAAGTGCAGAATCAGCTCCAACAGAAAATAATTTCTTTCCGACAAAATACTTTCTGTTGGAGCTGATTCAACAAGAACAAAAATGAACTAAAACTATCATCACAAAAATAGTGACTTTGCTTTGTCCTGCCCGTCCTTGCTTTGGACCTGCTTTAGACCTGCTTTAGACCGGCTTTGTACTTGCTTTATACTTGCTTTTGTTCTGCTAGTTCAAACCTCGTTCAGACCTGGTTCAGACCTGGTTCAGACCTGGTTCAGACCTGGTTCAGACCTGGTTCAGACCTGGTTCAGACCTGGTTCAGACCTGGTTCATTAGATCAAAACAGCCTCTTTCACCCAAACATTACATCTCTTCCGCTCTTTTAAGCCTCTATTACATTTCCCCTGTGCTCCTCCCCACTCCGTCTCCCCCCTCAGTCACCCCCGTCAGATCACAATGAACAGTAGACCTGCACCGGGCCAAGACCAGGACCCCCCCCCCCCCTCTCTCTCCTCTCCGGATGCTCCACAGTGGTGGGACTGTGCAAGAAAGCAGCTGATGTCGCCTTCAAGTTAGCAATCAGCTGTTTTTTTTTTCTCATAGCAAACATGCCTGAATATAGCCTGGATCTCGCCAGACCCTTGTAGTTCCGCCATGCTCCACCAGAGGCGTTTCGCTTCACACACAAGGGTCTGGGATCGAGGGCATAGCAAACTCCTTCAGCAGATCAGAAAATAATCGACCAATCAGGATTGCCGGTGGTACGGAGGGTTTGCACCGCCTTCTCAAGTGTGTCTCACGCGGCAGAATGAAGTCCGTGATAAAAAAAAAAAAAGACACGGATGTCACTTTTATTGCAATATGAGGAGAGATGTTGGTGGTTCTATGTCGTTATATGTGTGTTTTATGAGTCAAATGTTTGTGTAAAGTTTGGTTTAAGTACTGGTTTATGTGTTCCTGTTTACAACACTACGCAGCAGGGTTGCCAGGTTTCCCGCATACTTATTTCCAAGAGACTTGTACATTACGTTTTTAGCCAAAAAATCATTCTGGGTGTTTTTTTGTTGTTGCCATTCTCGCAGGTTTTGGGGCTGGAAAATCTTGCCGGCATTTGGCAACCCATGGGAGTCTTGTGCGTCGATGTGAGTGGTTGAGGAACACGTCATTCAAGATAACGGACAAGTGGTTTATCCACTCACATACAAGCTTTTATTTTTTTTTACAAGGCCCCGCCTTCTGAAATTTATCCGCTATGGGTTAGACCCAGACCCTTGTGAGAAGTGCAGTGAACTACAAGGGTCTGGCGAGAGTCAGGCTAGCCTGAATATAGGTACATGTGTAATATTTGTAGCACAGGACTATACTTTCAACCATCTTCTCCTCACCCCCATCTCCCAGTCTGTCCCTCAACTCCCTGTCTCTCCCCCATCTCCCAGTCTCCCCCCATTTCCCAGTCTCTCCCCCATCTCCCAGTCTCCCCCCATTTCCCAGTCTCCCCATCTCCTAGTCTCCCTTATTTCCCAGTCTCTCCAATCTCTCTTATCTCCCAGTCTCCCCCATCTCCCAGTCTCTGCCCCATCTCCAAGCTCCCCCATTAGAACCTCCCCAATTAGAATCTCCCCCTCTCTCTAAACTCTTCCGTACTGGATTTGACGACGCGCCTCATACCCGCGGCTGATGTACGGAGCTATTGTGTCGCGCCTTGTTTAGTCTCAAATTTACATCGACCTTGGCCCGTCATTGCTGTCTCCCCCACCCCCCCACCCCCCTCATCCCTCCCCCCTCCGCTCCCCCGCTCCCCTCGCTCGCCCTTTTAATGTTATGACGGCGTTCATTTGGCTCGTGTTTGACTGGAACCCTCTGGAGAGCCGAGAGAACGCGACTCAAATACAGACCGAGGAGGAGGAGGAGGAGAAGGAGGAAGAGCCGCTGTCTTTGTAGAGAGCAGAGATTTCCACTTTATCAAGAACGACAGAACAAACGGCGTCTCCAGGGACCAGAACAACACTGAAGTGTAGTGCGGGGCGGCCACCAGGGGGCGCTGTGTGCTGAGGAGCCAGTGCAGACAGATGTGGCACCTGTGGATCATTAATATGTATTTTCAGTAGATTTAACATCACTGTAAATCTGAACTGAGGGACGTAACTTTAAAACGACAACAATAATAGGGAGACCAGAGAGAGACCAGAGAAAAAGGACACAGAGAGACCAGAGAAAGGCCAGAGAGAGAGGCTACTGGGAGACTAGAGAGAGACCAGAGAAAGAGGACACAGAGAGACCAGTGAGAGGTCAGAGAGAGATCAGTGAGAGGCCAGGGAGAGACCAGAGAGCTACGTCGGCCGCAGGGAAATTCATGAGTCGGAAGTCAAAACTCAGTTTATTTCCCCTCCCTCACCTCTGTTCATTAGGGAGCAGCGTCTGCAGTCAGAGCCCCTCCCTCACCACTAGCCATGAGCTTTGGGTAATGAATGAAAGGATGAGATGTCTCAGTAGTTTCACATACGTCTACTCTCTCTCTCCGTGTCTGTAACCACGACGACTGTAGAGCAGGGAAAGGAAACCAAAAAACAAGAAAAACTCAAAACTTTGATGAAACAGTAATTGATACGACTCACAATTATTAAACCGCTTCACTGTAAAAAATCCAATTTCCGCTTGTTTGCGCGGCTCTATAACCAGCAGCAGGTTGATTCTTTCTGCCTGTTTACTATGGAAATTAGCAAAGCCATGTTCCGTTGATGATTTTGCGTATGGAGCCACCCACACATGTCCAATGCAGTGGGCTAATAAGGCTTAGCTAGCCCTGTTAGCATTAGCCCATTCCCAATAATTAGCTTGTTTTTCTGAGCTTCTCCTGCACGGGCCGTTCCAGCTAATAACGAGGATTAGGATTAGGAACGGAGGAGGGGATGATGGTGAGCAAGGGGGGAGGGAAGATGGAAAAATGAGAAGGGCCCCCCCCCTTCTCATTTCTCAACTGGCTCCTCTAGATATGAGGGAGCAGAAGCTCTACTCTGAGCTCCTCCTGTTTGACTGCTCCTTCTTCTTTCTCTGTGGCGCTGACCTCATCTTTTCTGCGTCTAACCTTCATCAAAGACCTGTTGTTTCTCTGTCAGCATCACACACATCTGTGTTTCCATTTAGGGCTCTGTATTTAATATCAGTATCTGTTCAAGAACAGAGGCAAGTTTTTCTGTGTAGCACAGCTCAAACAGAAAAACAGTTGTGTCCTAAGGCAAGACACTTCACTCGCATAGCCCAGAAGTTGTGGCTACAGTAGTGGTTTATCGCCGCTGTGTTTGGAGTGAAAGAATAATCAATCAATAACATTTTATTTATAAAGCGCTTTTCCTACAGAAGATGCAACAAAAGTGCTTTACAGTTTGGTTAATAACAATCAGGCGGCTGATGTCCCCTCCTCCCGACCACCCAACAGTCCCACCCCAAACCACACATTATTAAGAAGGCACATACACGCAGATGCACGCACACACGCTCATACACATGGTCCCGCTCCCTAGTCTTAATCAGGACACTTGCTGCCGAGTTTTGGAGTAATTGAAGACCCGAAATGGTATTTTTGGGAAGACCAGAGAACAGTGCATTACTGTAGTGTAGTGTCATCTGGACATATGGAGATGTACAGCTATCTGTCATCAGCATAACTGTGGAAGTTAATTCCATGTCTCTTGATGACACTGAGGGAGCATGTACAGGTTAAAAATGACTGAACCTAAAATACAACCCTTGGGCACACCACATGTGATTTTATCGACCTGAGAGGTCCATGACATGTGAAGCGTTTTTGAGTGTCCAATTAAGTGCTATATAAATTGATGCATTATTATTTTAATTTGTTCGTCACAAAACATTAAAATCATAAATAATCTCAGTGCATTAAAAAAGAGTAAAGATAGAAAGACAGAGGCCTCTAACGCAATCATCTCTGAGCTGCTGACCCTATTATTTAGGGGTAAATCTAACATGGTGCGATGTTGCTGAAGACACACAGCTGTAGAGGACTTCCTTTGAGGAAGAAATCCACGTTGTGTTACTTCATTCAGACTGGGCCTTCAGGGTGGAGTTTGCATGTTCTTTCTGTGTAGGTTTCCTCCAGGCACTCCAAGTGATCAGTTTAAAACATGTACAATAGAAAACATTGTGAATGTTTGTGTGTTTACAGTTCACTGTTCTTTAAAGCACATTAAAAAAACAATCACTAAACC